GCTCAAGGCTAGTGCTCTACCACTTGAGCCACAGCACCACTTCCGGCTTTTTTCTTTTTGCTTATGTGGTGCTGAGGAATTGAACCCAGGGCCTCATGTATGCAAGGCAAGCGCTCTACCACTGAGCCACCTTCCCAGCCCCATCAGAGCACATTCTTAAGTAAAAGAAGCTAAGCAAGAGTAGGAGGCCTTGAGTTTAAACCCCAGTCCTGGCATGCATGCACGCACACACACACACACACACAAAAATATATATATAGAGAGAGAGAGAGAGAGAGAGAGCCTAGCAGAGTTTCTGCCCTATAACAATAGATAATGTATATTAGACCCAACACAAAATATAATCTCAGTTAACTATAGGGGACCTGACTGGCCAACATAAAGTATAATGACAAGACCTTGCTGGTGGCAGCCAAGAAAGAGTCAAGTTCCCCTGACCCCACCTCAACATCATCAGGGGAGACCTGAAAGCTGAAGGGATGCTAGAGAACACAGAGGCCCCTCACCTGCACATGCTCTTCCTTGTCAACGAAGACACCATTCACCCTGAGGACCCTGTCCCCATCCAGGAGCCCAGCCTCCTCTGCGGGACTCCCCTGCTCCACCACCCGAACCAGGTGACCATCAGTGTCCTTCTCAATTCGTAGGAAGAAGCCATAACTTTGTCCTTCTTGCTTGGACAGCTTACATTCTCGAGGGTTGAACGTGGTAGCCATTTCTGTGGGGGGAAATCAAGGAGAAATCCGTGGGAAAGAAAATGGTGCTGGGTTGGACTGGGAAGGTGGCTCAGTGGCAGAATGCTTGCCTTGCATGCATAAGGCCCTGGGTTCAATTCCTCAGCACCACATAAGCAGAAAAAGCTGGAAGTGGCGCTGTGGCTCAAGTGGTAGAGTGCTAGCCTTGAGCTGAGGGACAGCGCCCAGGCCCACAGTTCAGGCCCCATGTCCAGAAAAAAAAAAAAAAGAGGTTTTGTGTGTGTATGTGTGTGTGTGTCCTGAGCTTTCTTTTGTTCAAGGCTAATCCTCTACCACTTGAGCCACAGCTCCACTTCTGGCTCCTTTTCTTAGTTTATGGGAGATCGGATTTGGTAGTTTATGGGAGATAAGAGTCTCACGGACTTTCTCGTGCAGGCTGGCTTTGAACCGCAATCCTCAGATCTCAGCCTCCTGAGTAGCTAGGATTACAGGCATGAGCCACCAGTGCCTGGCTAGTGGAGTAATTTTTATTTATTTATTCTTTTTTTTGGTTGTCGTGGGGTCTGAACTCTGGGCCTGGACACTGTCTCTCAGCTCTTCAGCTCAAGGCTAGTGCTCTACCACTTAAGCCCCAGCACCACTTCCGGCTTTTTCTGCTTATGTGGTGTTGAGGAATAGAACCCAGGGCCTCATGTATGTGAGGCAAGCACTTTACCACTGAGCCACCTGCCCAGCCCAATTGTGGAGTAATATTTTTAATCCTCTCTCACCGATGAGGTTGCTCTTCCAGTTCCCATCCCCCACCCGGCAGTGCAGCAGCTCTGAGGGCTGGGGGCCTCTGCCCAGGGCCTGTCATAATTTCTAAATCTATTTCTGTAAGGATGACCTTCTCCTCTCAGCTTCAAGCCTGCCTATTTGGATACTGGACACAGATGCTTTGATTTCAGTTTCTCTAACCAAACTCTTCTTCATCCCTTGTCCCCAAAGAAATTAAGTCCAAGCTGGGTGATTGGTTCAAACATGCAATCCTGATATAAGCTGATATAAATGGTAAAGTTCAGGAGGATTGTGGTTCTAGGTCAGCCTGGGCGAAAAGTTTGTCTGACAGATCCCATCTCAACCAATAAAAAAGCTAGATGTGCCAGGCATTGGTGGCTCAGGCTAGCTACTCAAGAGGCTGAGATCTGAGGATCAAGGTTCAAAGCCAGCCTAGGCAGAAAAGTCCCTGTAAGACTCTTATCTCCAATTAGGTCAAGTGGTAGAGTGCTAGCCTTGAATCCAAAGAGTCTTACAGACAGCGCCCAGGCTGAGTTCAGGCCCCACAACCAATCAAAAAAAAAAAAAAAAGCTACATGTGTTTGTACACACCTGTCATTCGAGCTATATGGGAATTGTTCATAGGAGGATCACTGTCCAGACAAACACAAATAACTAAAGCAAAAAAAAAAAGCAAAGCATCTGTTTATCAAGTGCAAAATCCTGAATTCAAATGAGGACAATGACGATGACAAGGAAGACAAGGAAGGGTCAACAGGACTTAAGTCGAAACATATGATCCAAAAAAAAAGTTTAAGAAAAATCAAGCCAGGCACCGGTGGCTCACACATAATCCAAGCTACTCAGGAGGCTGAGATCCGAGGATCCTCATTCAAAGCCAGCCTAGCAGACAAATACGTGAGAGTCTCATGTCCAATTAACAAGCAAAATCCTGAGCGGAGCTGTGGCCAGAGGAGTCTGGTGAAGGACAGGACGAGAGAGACGTGAAGCAGTTCAGTGCAGAAGCCAGGGCTTGGAGGTGGCTTGAGACACGTGAGAAGCAGTAGAGAAAGATGGTTGTACAGGATTCTGGGGCTTGAACTCAGGGCCTCATGCCTCTTGATTTTTTTGCATCTACTGTTTGAGCCACACTTCCACTTTTGGCTTTTGGGCTGTTTAATTGGAGATAACAGTCTCATGGGACTTCTCTGCCTGGGTTGGTTTTGAACCACGACCCTCAAAACACAGGAGATGGGGCTGGGAAGGTGGCTCAGTGGTAGAGTGCTTGCCTAGCATGCATGAAGCCCTGGGTTCCATTCTTCAGTACTACATACACAGAAAAAGCTGGAAGTGGTGCTGTGGCTCAAGTGCTAGCTCAGGAATAGTGCCCAGGCCCTGAGTTCAAGCCCCAGGATTGAGGTAGGGCGGGGAGGGAAGCAGGAGATGTCCGGTGGTCCCAAGGCTCTTCCTTTCCCAGGAATGTCCCCTTCACCACAGCCGATGGCTAAGGGAGCCCGGCCTCAGGAGACCCAAGTGCTGCTGCAGAGCGAGGTCCTGGGATGCTCAGCATGATCTCAGAGACCACACAGCAGAAAAGTCCTTTCCTCGCGGAGAGACCAGAGAGCGACCCCATGGGGCAAGGTGGGGAAATGGCCACAGAGCATTCTGCCTCCCCATATGCCACCAGGGAGATTGCAGATTACCATCGCTGACCTTTGTGCCCAAAGAGCCAGGCGAACAAGGCAGGCAGGCGGCCTCCCACCAGCCACTCATCTGACTCTCACCCGGTCCAGCCTAGTCCCTCAGCTGCCACTCCAGAGGCAGGAATGACCATGTTGTTCAGCCGGACCTGGTGGCCCACGCCTATCATCAATCCTAGCCTATCATCAATCAAGAGGCTGAGATCAGAGGATGACAGTTCAAGGCCAGCCTGGGGAAGGAAAGGTTGTGAGGCTCTTATCTGCAATGAGCCACCAAAAAGCTGAAAGCTGTGGTTCAAGTGGCAAGAGCATCAGTCGTGAGGGGAAAAGCCAAGCGAGAAGATGAGGTCCCGAGTTCAAGACCCAATGCGTGCGCGTACACACGTACATACACACACACACAAAGGGTCTTCCGTCACCTCCTTAATTCTGAGTTGGTCCATCTGCCCCAAGCCTTCTCTGTGTGAGCAGATATACCTCATAGAAACAGAACAACTCCTTAGTAGAAATCAATCATGGGATTGGAAAGCTGAGCCAGGTGGGGTTCATTGTCTCTTACTCCTCACCATCTCCTTTAAGTTGTGTTCTCCATCTTAGTTGCCCCTCAGATCCCTGGCAGGGACAGGACTCTGGTTCTCCAGGCCCTGCCCTCCAAGCACTGCCAGTCTCCTGCCCTGAACCCTAGAACCTCTGGCCTGACGTCCCGCCGTGCCACACCCGCCTCAGTCTTCAGGTCCCGGACAATGGCAATGTTGGAAGGACTCTTCATTAACAACCACCCTGAGCTCGCTTCACTCACTGCCGAAGCCAAGGTGGCAGCAGGGCCGGCGGAGGCCCTGGCTCACGCCGTGCAGACACCTCAGCAGCCGGCGCGGACAAGACGACGGAATGGAGCAGATGAAAACCACCTTCGGGGAGGAGGCCAACCTCCCAAGCCTAAGTGCCCTAAAAGCTCATCATGCTAGCCAGCCCTGGGGGCTCATGCCTAGGGTCCTAGCTACTCAGGAGGCTGAGAGCTGAGGATGACGCTTAGAAACTGGCCTGGGAAGAAAATCCCATGAGACTCCAATTAACCAACAAAAAAGCCAGGAGCGGAGGGGTGGCTCAAGTGGTAGAGCACCAGCTTTCGTCAAAAAAAAAGCACGAGAGCACAAAGCCCTGAGCGCCAATACCAGCACATGCATGCACGCACATGTGTGCACACACACACACACAGATGAAGAATGGCAAGACCAGAGTTGGGTGCCAAGAATGGCAACGATGCCCTGGAAGGAGGCGAGGTAAGAGGCTTTTGCAATGTGCATCACCTGTGACCAAGGCCTGACTTGGCCTAGAAGCTGGGAAAATAGGATGAAGGTGACAGCGGAGGTGAAAGAGCAGATAAACTGGGCAGCCAGGTTTCTCTATGCAGAGATGACATCAGGCAGGCCAGGCCACAGCCCAGATTTCCATATTCCAACCACCCAGAACTAGCTGCCAGCAGCCGGCAGATCGGCCCCAGCCAGGGTCAGAGCCAAAAAATTATAATAATGATCATAATAAAGCTAAATCTGGTTTTGATTTCATTGTCTGCTAGCTGTGTGAAGATATGGGATCCATTCTCTGGTTTTTTTTCCCCTTTCCTTGTTCGGTGGTGGTGGTGGTGGTGGTGGTGGTGGTGTGTGTGTGTCTGTGTGTGTGTGTGCTGGTTCTTCCTGAGGCTTGAACTCAAGACCTAGGTTCTGTCTCTGAGCTTTTGTGTTTAAGGCTATCACTCTACCACTTGAGCCACAGTACCACTTCTGGATTTATTTTATTTTTTGCCAGTCCTGGGGCTTGAACTCAGGGCCTGGGTGCTGTCCCTGCTCTCTTTTGCTCAAGGATAGTGCTCATGTTTGCAATCCCAGCTCTTTCTTTGGGAGGCAGAATCAGAAGGATCATTGTGCAAGGCCAGCCTAGGCAAAAAAAAAAAAAGGGGGGGAGCGTTAACAAGACCCTATCTCAACCAATAGATGGATGGGTCTTTTATTCCAGCTACAAAGAAATTCTAAATAGGAGGATGATGGTCCAGGCCAGCCTGGGCATAAATACAAGACCATATGCCAAAAATAATGAAAGTGTAGAGAGCATGAGTCAAATGCTATAATAACTTACCCTGTCCACAGACACGAGGCCCAGACTTCGACTCCCCCCTCTCCCCGCCTCCCCTGCCCCAGGCACTCGGTACTAACAAAAACGTGAAAGCAATTCCATTTCATCCTTCTGCAGAAAGTGTTTCCTAGAGCACACGCATCGATAGTTTTCATGAAGACGGCACACTGAAGTGGCCTGAAAGCATCCTATTGGGAAACCACACAATCAAGTATATTTACTTTCAATAATATCAAAACCAGAAGGATGACCAAAACTTGTGATACCTGTACTTCTCCCTTGTCACCGTTGCCGTTTGACCAGTGACAGATTTCAAATGGGAGAAATGAGAGTGAGTTTGGCAATCCATATCTAGAATGCCAGCCTTCAAGAGGCTGAAGCCAAAAGTACCACAATCTCTAGGCCTGTCCACATAGCAAGAACTTGTCTTAAAAACA